TCTAACCAATGCTCAGTTAACAATACTATATTGGGAAAGTTTTGGCTGTCTAGAAATGCAAAGAGTTCATCAGACTTGTTTCTTGCTGACTGAATGTTTAAAAGTATTAAGGATATGCTTCTTCCCCCCGACCGACTTCTAAAAAACAGTGCTGATCTCCTTCGTTAACAGAGTATGAATTTGCGAGCACATTGCTGTGAGGTTTATCTTTAGCTACATTGTTGTTTGAATCACTCAACTCAATCGTTTGTATCGATTTCAAAACAACATTATTACACTTTGGTGCATGAAAAGTATTTTTAAATCTATCGCAAAGTTCAAATTTACTCCCCTGTTGTTTATTATCAACGAAAAATAAAATAGAATGATTTCTAGTATAACGTGCAAATCGGTTGAGAGACATCCTTATTCTATTTATTATAATATGATCCATTTGAGTGTCACACTCCGAGGTGATTATTAGGTTCGTGGTTTTACCTATATTCAAGACATTTTTTAATACTGAATTTAGAGTTTTGGAGTTGCTGATATTTTTGGTATTGAACATCAGAATTACATAATCATCCTGACCATAATTTAAACTATAGTCGAAAATACTACTTGTCAAGATCGATAATTCTATATTTGGTTTGATGATTTCATTGATGATGTAATTTCTATTTAAAATAAATTTCTTCAATACTGCAGAGAAATTTATCGCGTACTGATCGCCCAGGATTAGAATCTTGGAAGATCTTTCTTGTATATTCATTGTAATTTCCTGATTTTTTCCTAGCGATGGATTTTCGCTGGTTTTAGTTATGTCTCTTTCACTTCCATCTGTCTGCTGCATTGGGTTGTTCATTTCTTCGCAGAGATTTACACCATTAGGAATATTTAGGAATGATTTTCAGTTGAACTTGAAAAAAAAATGTCTTCTTGAGTGTGAATCTTATTTTATTGTCTTCCTCATTTTGTCAAATATATTTATATATTCACCATGTTTCCTGCCATACACAAATATTGTTCCTTGAGAAAGATAACGTTGATTGATTAATTGATTTCCTATCTTATTGAATGATTCTTCGCAACCTTATTGGTCGTTCACACTATACACCAGCAGGTGCACGACTATTTCGAAATCTCCTTGTATATCTTTTTCCTGTCATGTAGCATCCTCTGTATGTTGTTAACAGATGTATTTTATGTAAAATTATAGAACTCATAGGCTGAAATACGCAATGACAACAATGATTATCCATACGGATATAGTTATACTCATGAATATGTATTTGTTATCGTAAATGTAGTCTGAAACCTAGCTGAATTCAGCAATATCGTATTACACAAACTCATGTGTATACCTACTTATACAGAGTATATATGCATTAGGAAACATAAATATGTTAACAGCAGATATAGAGGTCACATAGTAATGAATCTAAATATATCATTGATTCTACCTATAACATTATTTTTTGTTTGTTGGTGCATCGCTACTTGGATGTTATGAACCATCTCCCCAGAAGTCGAAACTTGTGGTGGGGCTAGGAAGAGTGGGACCTATAATTTATACTGGAATATCAACCACTTCTAGGGCAGCGAGATGATGTTGGGATTACAACCAAGAATCACACATTTGAAAAAAACATACTCAGCCAAACCGGATTCGAACCCACAGCACATCTGCATCGTAGCGAAGTTTAGCGTCTTATTATAGACAGCACCAGCGTGCTGAAATTTTTGAGCTTGTGTTGCCAATAGTGATGCTACAAAGCTCACTGATCTAAGCACCGCTCTTATATGAGGAGGAATGGAAATAACACTTCTGCATAAGGAAGGAGACTACTTTTTCTAACAATCCATTCGGTCTGAATGAACTTTCTTCCCAGGAAGTATATCATTCGGAAAATCAATTGAGAACAAATCGAAAAAGTCGCCGACGTGGCATGCGGAGACACTAATCACTATGCCACCAAACCTACTTAAAAATTATATTTTGACGAAAAGATCCATAATACTGTGGCCAACGTCTTTATATTGATCAATATCAAATAAAAATATGAGCCACATCTGCGAACGGCCGCTCTTCGCCAGAGAACAGCTAAGTGGATACGTAATGATCGCAGATAGCTGAATTTCAAGTTCAGAGGGCGCCACTCGATAAAAAATAAACTGGTTCTTGGATTATTGAGGTAACCAAATTTTTTGGGAAGATATTCACAATGAGTTCCAAAACAAAATCCTCCGATAGTAATACAAAAATATAATCTCAAATGATAGTGATTGAACCTGTAGATGAATATAAAACATTATCACCTAGTTATTTCATCACCATAATCGACTGTCTTTCTTAAGAACAGTGTAGAGACCAGAGTATTCGGAATATGTATCCTGAAATATCGTAAAATAACATGGCCATCAAATATCATAACCATGTACTGACTGCCTTTCGTTTAAGCAGAATTATTGTTTAGTTTATCAAGATCTGTCAACTTGCACCATGAATAGTGTTTTGATATAGCATTCATCATATTCCACTCATGGAATGGGGTGTATTAATTTTCAAAAGAATTATAATACTATAATCTGTGAAAACCTGAAACCGCTGTCGCATGGGAGAGTTTCATAAGAGCTTCATATATGTTTTATATAGTCATGATGGTAATTCCGAAAGTTCATGAGGGTATTCGAAAACAATTCATCATAGTTGGGATAGTGAGTTCAGATTTCTATAAAAATCAATGATGGATCAAAAAAACCTGGTCTATCCGAGGGTCCTCTCTAATGGTCCAGTCACCCCTAACCAAGGTCCACTATGGTGTATAGGCAAGCTGTTGAATATAGAGACTTTTATTGTTCCCGTTTAGCCTAAATTTTATTCCTGGAGAAAATTCAACCAACTTCAAAAACTTAAAAAAACCTTGAACTTCTCCCCTTTGTAACTCCGCTACTGATCCATTTCATGATTTCAGTAAATGTCATTGCATTCTCCACGAATTTCGTTCGATAATGATATGAACGAAACAATATTGGCAAAATTCAGAATGAATATGCTTATTTATTTCAAAAACGGTTTGTTTCTCGAAAAAAATCTAGGGTCGCAAGAGCATTCTCACTGATCGATATAACAATGTTTTCAACTAGAAGATGTCAGAGGCTAGCTTACTACGGAAAAGTTTGTGTTGGATAAGGAAGCCTCTACCTTCAAAAAGGTATCACTGTGTAGATCTTTCGAAACTTTAAGATGCCTAAAATGTTGATCTTCTAGAAAATATCAACCACACAAAATGTCTACTTGATACGTTCAAAGGTGAGCGAGATATATCAATTAATAAAAAAAAAATTTAACTCAGCCCCCTGTAGCAGCGCTACTAATCGAGATCTAAGGCATGTTCATATATACACTTTTCTGATGAACGTGATGAGATCTACCATCTATCTCAGTTCATGTCTTCCAATTTGAATCATCCTGTATATCAGTTTGTAATACCTCTTTGTCTCATATATTATATGTTTCACATTCCATATCACAAACCTTCATGTCTCATTGACTACAAATCATGAATCCATTCTGCCATATCAAATTTTATCCGATGATGAGAAGGTTTTTTCAATATTCATCAATGTTACAAGTTGTTTTTGGCAAATAACTGTATCAACTCAACCAGGGCCTACTCTAGAGAGTTGGCCCTGACTCAACGCGTTCAGAGTCCGAATAGCCTATTTGAAAGATTCCCTATTTCTGAGTTAAACTGCGTACAAATGAACATTCATGAAATTTCTACAAACACCTTCAACACAAAAAACTATAAATACTGAGAATCATGTACCGCATATTTTGTTGTTCAATTCTTCAGTCTACATTTCGCTCATACGCTGCTTTTTCATTAATCTGTGTTTCACAATCATTAACGGTTTCACTAATAAGTTGAAACTTGGTATTTCCGTTCAATCATTTATGCACCATAAGTAATTGTTATCTTTCATCAACTATTCACTAGAAGCTGGCCAACTTTAATCACTTTACGACAATTACAAGTGAAAGTATGGCTAGCGCAGGCGCGATTCTGTCAGAAATCAGACATACAAATTTTTCTTATAATTTTTTAAAAATGTGGTTGAAAATTCACAAAATTCTAGGTGCATGTTCGAAATAGCCTTTCAAAACAATATAAACCAATCAGTCTCATTTCAATATTGTGAGCATACTCGAGCGTTAGAACAAATTGCAATGCTCAGTATGTTGGACAAAGTGGTAGAAAAATTTTAACCAGAGTTACTGAACATGGTAAAATCTTCGAAAAATCCAAGAATACCCTCCCCCCTCCCCCCTTCATTTGATGAATATGATACTAGAAGTTCTTTTGCAAACCACATCCTAAATTCACACAATACCCTTCATATACCATTCTTGTATATGAAATGTTTTTCTAAACCAATAGTATGCGCTCTGAGGGCACGGGGCCCTCCATTTATTGAGAACTCGTTTTTTTTTGAACGTTTGGAATTCTTGACTATGGGCATCGGCAGTTCAAGGAATAGTAGCATCATGAAATTTTTTTCAACTCCAAGTAAGTCTAGCATAAAATAGGTAATTCTTTCACTTCAATATCATTCGTTTTTGTATTGCATACCTTTCAATTAGACTGAAGATGGTCTTTTATAAGACCGAAACATGTCCCTCATGATTAAGTAACAATATCATTAAAATTTTGTGGAGATGACTTGCATCATGAGAAAGAGTTCAAAGTTAAAAAAAGTTAGTGCATGAAGGCATCAAAGTACTTAAATAAAAATGAATTTAATGACGGTTGATGAAAGCGACAGATTAATGAAAAAGTGGTGTGAATAAATCCACCTTTTTAATGTTGTTTTCATTTTATACTTTGGCATGTTTACGTGCAATCCTCGTTCATACAATTCCACTCACATTTCAGTAAACCAGCACTGACAAATTCATTTCGTATCCATACCGCAAAAGACTCTGTGCGGTTTTCATTTGAACACGCTAATCTGCAATGAAATATTCTAGAGAGTCGTCTGAGGCGGTATTATGTGGTATGGGTGAGGGTAAGAGCCGTTTGGATATTGCTCAACCAATATGAAAGGGAATTGATCAATTGGAAAGCAGGGAGATATATATGTCATTCCGAGAAAATTGATTAAGGGCGGATCCTAAGACGATTATCAAGGAGGAAGGGACGAACTAGTAATTGGAGAGTCCTGGAAATGAAGCAATTCACAAAATAAAACATATAGATTCCTTAGAATCAATCTGCATGTTTATTACGCATGTGTGTAATATTTCTGAATCGTTCGACATTGAAGACGGCTCAATGACATGAACAATTTCATCTACCTTGATGAGAAATGTCTTGAAAATGACAAATTGTCCCTGCAAATGACCTATGTAGAACGTGAAAATAAGATTCGTTTCCAACTACCAAATTAGAACTAATAAGGAAGAGTAGAATTGCTAAAGGAACTGCTTGACTGTTTAGTTCATGTGGTGAAAGTGGGAAAGATGCACCACTTCTTGAATTGAATCAATTTTTCAAGTAGAATGATTAACTAACCAGTTTGGTATGTATGGCGGTTGAAGATGCCCTAATGCCAAAATATGTAAATCCTCTATTATGCTGAATATTCAATGAAACTTACTAAGAAAAAATGAAACTTTTGCTCGACAAAAAAAAAAAATGATCGTGATCACCGACTGTTCTACCATAATTATACTTATACAGGGTTATTTATTGGGAATGGAAATTCTTCGAACTACAGATAATTAACACAGAACTATAGAGATTCAGCCTAACATGCCTCATGAGAATGTTACTGGTTTAGAAGATAAAGGGTTAAGGGGAGAGTATATTTCAAAACGGCCCAATAACTTTGTAGGTTTCAACAGCATGAACATGAAATCTTAGTTTCAGGTTTTCTGACATGAGAAATATGAATTTGCAACTTGTGTGATCACTCATAGACGTCGCTATAGTGACACTCTATTACTTCGGACAATTACACCAAATCTTCCATGTCCAATTGATGATGATGAGTGGAAAATCTAAGAGCCCGTCCAATTTTACCAAAAATATGTACTCTTTTTCAAATTGTCTATCGTTATTTGCTCTTGCAATTATTCATGTTCTCCTTATAACATTCCAATGATTCGACAGTGGAAAATAAGAGAGTAATCAATTATGACAATTACTAAAAATGCCAACAACAAACGGAATTTTGAAGTAAATGTTCGACCGAAGTTAGAGAGAACCTTGAAGCAAAAATGCTGTTGAATAAAATCTGTTCTTTGAACGTTATAGGGATTCCCTTTCGTGCGCTCCAAGCGATAAAAAAAATCTGTACTACAGATATCTCCTATTCTCAATGAATCACCCTGTATTGAATGTCCCAACATCCGGAATGAAGGTGTACCTAGTACCTACTACATGTTAATGAATCCTATAATGGCGATTGTGTTCTGTTGGCAACTGACAGAGACTATGACACAATGTATTCCATATCGAATGTAGTTTATTTACTGATATGTACTCATATCGACAAAAATCACGGTTATGTTTCCATAATAAGTATAATTTCAGGCTATTCGAGTTACTAGGCTCCAGGCAGCTCATTTTACTATAAGTGTATCGTTCCAGACTGATTTGAAGATTGAGAATAGAGGTTAATGCAAGAATCAATTAGAAAATGAAAAATTCTGAACACATGTTGCTGTAGTTCAGCGTTCTGGTTTTGAAAGACTTTTCCTGTCGGCATATTGCTTCGATCGTGATACAACTATAGATATTCAATATTTTCTGAGAATCATAGAGAATAAGAATCATTATAAAATATTCATCTTTAGTTCAATTCTTCATCATTAAGGAGTAGTTTGTCTTTCTATTCGTCAAATAGTGTTAATTTTGATGTTATTTCAATGAATAGTTTAATTTTAACAGTATGTCCAGGTATCCTGATTTGGATAATCCAATAGTTTATTATGTTCATTCCTACAACTGATAACCGACACAACTCTAATTAGGACTTGCAACTCCCGTTTAGACTCATTTAACTTCATAAATGCTAGAATTCCCCAAACTAAACTACGCTAATAGAAAAAGATGGATGATTCTGAAGTTGCATCCGTTAAATTGAAATTTAGTTTTCCAATTACACTATACTCATTATAACTACTCCAAATTGGAGAGTTAGTGTAGGTTCCTCCTAAAAAACGAGTAGCAAAATACATCATGAAAATTACATAAAATTTATAGATGCTCTCTCTGAATAGTCTTTTGATGGATATCGTCTGCGTGAACGACCGTCATTGGTTGTTTGATTAATATTTTGTAGAGAATTGATCGATATTTCCTACAGTGTTTTTTCGTAAACTCATCAACTTATGAGAACATGTTCACCTCCATGTAAGTCAATCTTTAGTCATAACATTTTATACATTTTCACATGCCTTTACTTGTAAGAAATTTCTGAAATATAGCTGAAGATGGACTTTTAAAAGTTCGAAACATGTCCCGTTGAATAACTACTTCAATATTGAAGTTGTGGAGATGACTTTGAGCATTCCTTCCTCCTTTTATACTTATATCATGAAATATAATGAAAAAAACATATTTTCTAGATTGCCTTTCATGGGACTATAATATACACGGTGGGTCAAAATGTGTACCGCGCTATCTGGAGGTGCTAGTACATTGCAAGAAATATACAGTTCAATAATCAAATGTTGATCTTTTGTTTTTTCGAATTGACTCGAATATTACTTGATAGAAATTCATGGCAAATGTAAAAACTTCACAAACGATAAGATTTCCACAAAATGCTCAAACATACGACATGTTTCGCTAATACAGTAGCTTCTTCAGATGATTTACTGGTATAATGAACTAAAGTAATAAGCAAGCCAATTTTAGTTTTGTTCATCGTACCAGTAAATCACCTGAAGAAGCTACTGTGTCAGCGAAACATGTCGTTTGTTTGAAAATTTTGTGGAAATCTTATCGTTTGTGGAGTTTTTACATTTGAATACATGTTGATAAAATAGATGATACACTCCTATATCTCTGATATTGTTATAAAGGGTGTTTTTAGAGGGTGAGCATGAATTTTTGGAAACAACTATTTTTCTCGTATTTTTTTGTTGTAAAAATTGGAGCATTCGATAGAGCAAGATTACAAAAAAACGGTGCTCTCATCAAAATACAAAAATTTTCACCGTTTTCGAGATACGAGTTTTTGTAGTCACAATATCAACAGATTGATTCATCGGTAAAAATATTTTTGAAGGCCATGATCAATTTTGTTATTGTTAATATCCTTGTTTCGTTCTTTTGCTCAGGTATATCATTACTGCGATTTCCAACTGAGATTTTGAGAAATTTTTAGGCTATTCGTTATGCCTAGATGTTTCCCGCTTTACGAGTTCCAAATTCTATAGTAATTCTGAGGATTGTGCAGAGATTGAGTAGAAAATAATGTTTCCAAACAAGAAATAGAGATGGTGTCCTTTATCCAAGGAGGTCAAGGACCCCTGAAATATTATTACTGATGGATTCATTTCCTGTTGCTCATGCCGCACTACAGAAACTCAAATATCTCGAAAACTTTCACATTTTTTGTACTTTCATTGGAGTACCGTTTATATGTATTCTTTTCTGCGCTATGGATTGCTCCTACTCCTATTTATTCACCAGGATTAATACGATGTGAAAAGTTTCGTTCAAAAATAAGATAAAATATTATTGCAATTTTATCAACTTTGGAATGATCCATCACCCTCAATATACATTTTGGGCCTTTCGTTCAGTCATCAAAATGTATCTCTTCTAGACTTCTAGACAATAGACTCGGTACACATTCCTGACTCTCCCTGTATATCTGATGGGGAAGTTCTCAGGAAATGAAATTATAGCAACGTTATGTAATTTTTATGTTTTCATTCTATCTGAATCCAGGAGATTGCCCACATATTTCAGAACACCCTGTTTATAAACCATCCTTGAGTGTTTTCTAGATTCGAAAACTGCTCACAGTAATGAATGTTGAAATACTGTTATCGAAAATGTAGTTAGGGTTTTATCAAGTATAGTATTGAAAATTGTCTGAAAGAAATATCTAATGATGAAGTATGTATACGCGCTCAAATCATTTTCGATGAATACGCGGTTACAAATATCAGATCTGCCTTTTTAATTATCATTTTACGCGAATCCTTTTTATCACGAATTCATAATGAATGTGACTGGAATCCGAATTAAAAGCATTTTCGCCTTTGGAATGAACCAAATTTAACTTTTCCAACATTTCCATTTTTAATTTGATTCAACTAATGGAGATTTATTGTAGACCAACGTTGAATCTCACAACAAAACGAAAGGTTATACTGTATTCCAGAGTAATTTGATATTTATAAAGAATTGTGGTGTGTTTATTCTTTATTTGATTCATACAAAAGCAACAAGCTTTGGTTTTGGATTCAGATAATATTGCGATTTAGTTGTGAAATTAATTCTCGGTGTGAGTATTATATCACCAGAGGATATTGTGTTGCTTTGATCTCTCAGTACAGTGTTTATTGTTTCTATAATCAATAACTTACCTCTTCTCGTGAATATAATACGTGTACCCTCTGACAAACCTCTGTCATTTGTATCCCGAAAATAAGTCGATTATATTTCAGAATTCAATTCACCAGAATGAATTCATTTGGACCAGGTGTCTGCCCTTATAGCAAATTCTGCGCCAGAAACGAAGCGGAAAACGTTAGGTTAGTGAGCATATCAACAGAAATAATATCGATCATTCATTTCTTGCCATATTTCACTGTGTTTGGCTCGTTGTGTAGACGGAAAAGTATTGCTGATTATTCAAAAACGAGTTATCCCATCAATGAGATTCAGAGGATCAGTGGAATATAGATCGAGAAGTATATGTAAATCAACTTCAGCTCCTAGGAACCAAAAGTGTTGCCTAGCAACATACCTATGTTTGTGTCAGTGATAAAAACGTCAGTTCAAGAGCTAATTTTGGTATTGAAATAGACGACTTTTGAGTCG